ATTAAAAGAACTAGAGAAGCAAGAGCAAACATATTCAAAAGCTAGCAGAAGACAAGAAATAACAAAGATCACAGTGGAAGTGAAGGAGGTAGAGACATGAAAAACCCTTCAAATATCAACGAATTCGGGTGCTGGGTTTTTGAAAAAATTAACAAAATACATGGACAACTAGCCAGCCTAATAAATAAGAAAAGTGAGATGAATCAAATAGACACAGTAAAAAATGATAAAGGGGACATCATCACTGATCCCACAGAAATACAAACTACCATCAGAGAATACTATAAGCACCTCTACGCAAATAAACTAGAAAACCTCGAAGAAATGGACAAATTCCTAGACACATATACCCTCCCAAGACTAAACCAGGAAAAAGTCGAATCCCTGAACAGACAAATAAGTTCTAAAATTGAGGCAGTAATTAATAGCCTACCAACCCAAAAAAGCCCAGGACCAGATGGATTTACAGCCGAATTCTACAACAGGTACAAAGAGGAGTTGGCACCATTCCTTCTGAAACTATTCCCAACGATAGAAAAAGAGGGACTCCTCCATAATGCATTTTATGAGGCCAGCATATTCCTGATACCAAAACCTGGCAGAGACACGACAAAAATAGAAAATTTCAGGCCAATATCCCTGATGAACATCGATGTGAAAATCCTCAATAAAATACTGGCAAACCGAATACAGGAGCACATCAAAAAGCTTATCCACCACGATCAAGTAGGCTTCATACCTGGGATGCAAGATTGCTTCAACATATGCAAATCAATAAATGTAATCCATCACATAAATAGAACCAAAGACAAGAACCACATGATTATCTCAATAGATGTAGAAAAGCCCTTTAATAAAATTCAACATCCCTTCATGCTAAAAACTCTCAATAAACTAGGTATTGATGAAACATATTTCAAAATAATAAGAGCTATTTATGACAAACCCACAGCCAACATCATACTCAATGGGCAAAAGCTGGAAGCATTCCCTTTGAAATCTGGCACAAGATAAGGATGCAGTCTCTTACCACTCCTATTCAACATAGTATTGGAAGTTCTGGCCAGGGCAATCAGGCAAGAGAAAGAAGTGTATTCAAATAGGAAGGGAAGAAGTCAAATTGTCTTTGTTTGCAGATGGCATGATTGTGTATTTAGAAAACCCCATCGTCTCAGCCTCAAATCTCCTTAAGCTTATAACCAACTTCAGCAAAGTCTCAGGATACAAAATTAATTTGCAAAAATCACAAGCATTCCTATATACCAATAACAGACAAACAGAGAGCCAAATCATGAGTGAACTTACATTCACAGTTACTACAAAGAGAATAAAATGCCTAGGAATATAACTTACAGGGGAAGTGAAGGACCTCTTCAAGGAGAACTATAAACCACTGCTCAAGGAAATAAGAGAGGACACAAACAAATGGAAAAGCATTCCATGCTCATGGATAGGAAGAATCAATATCATGAAAATGGCCACACTGCCCAAAGTACTTTATAGATTGAATGCTATCCCCCTCAAGCTACCATTGACTTTCTTCACAGAATTAGAAAAAACTACTTTAAATTTAATATGGAAGCAAAAAAGAGCCTGTATAGCCAAGACAATCCTAAGCAAAAAGAACAAAGTTGGAGGCATCATGCTACCTGACTTCAAACTATACTACAAGGCTATAGTAATGAAAACAGCATGGTTCTGGTGCCAAAACAGATATACAGACCAATGGAACAGAACTGAGGCCTCAGAAATAACTCCACCCATCTACAACCATCTGATCTTTGACAAACCTGACAAAAACAAGAAATGGGGAAAGGCTTCCCTATTTAATAAATGGTGCTGGAAAAACTGGCTAGCCATATGCAGAAAACTGAAACTAGACCCCTTCCTTACACCTTATACAAAAATTAATGCAAGATGGATTAAAGACTTAAACTTAAGACCTAAAACCATAAAACCTAGAAGAAAACCTAGGCAATACCATTCAGGACATAGGCATAGGCAAAGACTTCATGACTAAAACACCAAAAGCAATGGCAACAAAAGGCAAAATTGACAAATGGGATCTAATTAAAGTAAAGATCTTCTGTACAGCAAAAGAAGCTATCATCGTCTCTACTAAAAACACAAAAAAGTAGCCAGGCGTGGGGGCGGGCGCCTGTAGTCCCAGCTGCTTGGGAGGCTGAGGCAGGAGAATGGCATGAACCTGGGAGGTGGAGCTTGCAGTGAGCCGAGATCGCGCCACTGCACTCCATCCTGGGCAACAGAATAAGACTCCGTCTCAAAAAAAAAAAAAAAAAAAAAAAAAAGAAGCTATCATCAGAGTGAACAGGCAACATACAGAATGGGAGAATATTTTTGCAATCTATCCATCTGACAAAGGGCTAATATCCACAATCTACCAGGAACTTAAGCAAATTTACAAGAAAACAACAAAAACCCTCATCTAAAAGTGGGCGAAGTATATGAACAGACGCTTCTCAAAAGAAGACATTTATGTGGCCAACAAACAGGAAAAAATGCTCATCATCACTGGTCATTAGAGAAATTCAAATCAAAACCACAATGAGATACCATCTCATGCAAGCTAGAACAGCGATCATTAACAAGTTGGGAAACAGGCCGGCGTGTTGGCTCACTCCTGCAATCCCAGCAGTTTGGGAGGCTGAGAATGGGTGGATCGCAAGGTCAAGAGATGGAAACCATCCTGGCCAACATGGTGTAACCCTGTCTCTACTAAAGCAAATGCAAAAATTAGCTGGGCATGGTGGCACACGCCTGTAGTCCCAGTTACTCGGGACGCTGGGGCAGGAGAATTGCTTGAACCCAGGAAGCAGAGGTTGCAGTGAGCTGAGATCATGCCACTGCACTCTAGCCTGGTGACAGAGCAAGACTCCATCTCAAAAAAACCAAAAAACTCAGGAAACAAGAGATGTTGGAGAAGATGTAGAAAAAATACGAACGCTTTTACAGTGTTAGTGGGAGTGTAAATTCGTTCAATCATTGTGGAAGACATTGTGGCAGTTCCTCAAGGATCTAGAACCAGAAATACCATTTGACCCAGCAATCCCATTACTGGGTATATATCCAAAAGATTATAAATCATTCTACTATAAAGACACATGCACATGTATGTTTATTGCGGCACTATTCACAATTGCAAAGACTTGGAAACAACCCAAATGTCCATCAATGATAGACTGGATAACGAAAATGTAGCACATATATACCATGGAATACTATGCAGACATTAAAAAAGATAAGTTCATGTCCTTTGCAGGAACATGGATGAAGCTGGAAACCATCATTCTCAGCAAAGTAACACAGGAACAGAAAACCAAACACTGCATATTCTCACTCATAATTGGGAGTCGAACAACAAGAACACATGGACATAGGGAGGGGAACATCACACCAGGGCCTGTTGGGGGTTGGGGGGCTAGGGGAGGGATAGCATTAGGAGAAATGCCTAATGTAGATGATGGGTTGATGGGTGCAGCAAACCACCATGGCATGTGTATAACTATGTAACAAACCTGCACGTTCTGCACATGTATTCCAAAACTTAAAGTATAATAAACTATATATAAATATACATATATTTATATATATATGTGAAAAAAAACCCACAAAATAATACTACAAGCTGCTAGGAATAGTTAATATAGTGTCCTGCACCTTAATAATCCTTGAAGTGCAATACCATATAACAAATATTGTAAATAATTTTGAACCTGAAGACTGAAGCAAAGCTTAAACTATAAGTAATATTTTAAGAGGCAAAATATATGTCATATATTTCATATTTCCATTAATAATGATTAAATTTGAAACATTCTAATACTTATAATGGTATAAAACAGTGGTCATTTTTATCAGTTAATGCATAGTAGGCTAAAGAGATATTTATATATAGATAAAATAACTGGTTTAAAATGACCATAATTTTGTACTATTAAAATTTTAGAAGAGCAGTTATAAACATTCAGTATACCTATGATACCAAGAAAACATTATAAAATGAGCATATTATTAATATAAAGTAGGATTATTTAATTTGAATTAAAATAAATTTAATGTTTAGGCAAGATTTATTATGGTAATTCTGAATGAGCATATTGCCACTAATTATTATTGCCAGGTAAAAGGAACTTGTTGATATATAGGACATGGCTACTTTTTTTTTTTTTTTGAGACAGTCTCGCTCTGTTGTCTAGGCTGAAGTGTAGTGGCACCATCTCGGCTCACTGCAACTTCCATCTCTTGGGTTCAAGGGATTCTTGTGCCTCAGCCTCTCAAGTAGCTGGGATTACAGGCACGTGCCACCATGCCCAGCTAATTTTTTTGTGTGTTTTCAGTAGAGACAGGTTTTTGCCATGCTCCCCTAGCTGGTCTCGATTTCCTAACCTCAGGTGATCCACCCACCTTAGCCTCCCAAAGTGCTGGGATTACAGGCGTGAGGCAGGGCACTCAGCTGGATATGGCTACTTTAAAAACAAAATAATATTATACTAATTTTTTTTTTATTTTTCAACATCTTAAAATTTAGTACTTTTTATTACATTAATGTACATAACTTTATCTTTCCAACAAACTGTAATCTTCTGACTTCAGAATGTAAGATCTTAAAGTACAGAGACTTGGTTATGTATTTAAGTCTTTCACATGCAATATCAATGGACACATTGCTTCTGCTTAATAAATCCTGCTACTTGTAGTATGCATGGTCAGAAGTCCTTTACTGTTAAAATTATTGTGTATAATACTTATCTAAATGCTCATTAAGAATCCTGAAATAATTAACACTTGATATTTGCAATATTCATAATAATCATTATCAGAGATATGTCTGAGACAATAAAAAATCAGTTATGTTAATATGGAGGATTCAGTTGTATTTACAATTATGTAAAACTTTAAACAATATATTAACATTAAAGATCATTTGCCTTTTTTGTCTCTGCTTCATATTCCTCTTTCCCTAAAGTAAAAATGCATACCTGTTTTTGCAGGTCTTGTATTCTACTTTAAGAATTGGTTTACAAGATTCAGATTTTCTTCCTTCTCTTTGACTTTTTCCTAAAGAAAAAAAAGATTTAATTAAATCTAATTTAAATTCTATTCATCTGTAAGAATTAAAAAATTTGACTAAAGGAATTTAAAGATAAAGGAATAATAATGTAATTATGTGTTTGTCATAACAGGATAAACTTATGTCTATGAATCCTCATATTTTTGTTGAATTTGTAAACAATCTTTAGAGTTGCAATACTTGTCTGCTATATAATTCATCAAATTACCTGTAAAATTATATAACTTTTATTGCTTTACATTCTTCACACATAGATCTAATTTCATGTGGAGTTATTTTAATTATTTAAGTTTGAAGACAAAGTAAGTTTAGAATTGAAGATCACACATACATACTTATCTACATAATGAAATTTATTACTATTGCTATGGTTTGAATGTGTCCCCCAAAATTCATGTGTTGGAAACTTAATCCCCAGTGCAATAGTATTGAGAATGAGATTTTTAAGAGGTGATTAGGATATGGGGGCTTTGCCCTCATGTTTGAATTAATACAGTTATTGTGAGAATGGGTTGGTTATCATGGGAGTGGGTTTCTAATGAAAGGATTAGCTCAGGCCCCTTCCCTCTGTTGCACATCTCTCAACATGTGATACCTTCCACCATGTTACAACACAGTAAGAAGTCCCTCATCAGATGTTGCCCCTCAATCTTGGACTTTCCAGCCTCCAAAATCATAAGCCAAATAAACCTCTATTGTTTATAAATTGTGTAGCGTGTGGTATTCTGTTACAGCACCACAAAACAGACTAGGACAACAATAACAATCCACACTAGGATCAATATTTTATCTATAATACATGCAAACTCCTTTCATACAGAGAAATACTTGCTATTTAAAGCATATAATGAACTATCAAAATTATTCTATTTCTATCAAATACATTTTTTTAAAAACTTCCATTAGACAATGAACACAAATACTACATTTCTTGATTTTTAAAAATCATTTTAATGATGTATTCATTTTGCATAAAACAAAAATGATAATTTCTTATAGGAGATGGGTTATTCTGTTTAGACTCCATAAGATTTTGAATAAAGGATCAAAAAGAGGAGGAAATAGAAGTGAAGCTACTTCTGCATATAACATGCTTATCTTTCTAGTTATGCTTTCAGTTTACTTCTATGTCTCATTTTGGTTAAATTGGCATGTGTTCTGAAATGCAATGTTTGTTTCTTTTTCATTTTCAGTAAGTACCCTTATTTATTCTTGTATTACCACAGTTGTTTATAGTCACGTATCTATTACATAGACGTTTACATGCATATAGCTTTAAATTTTCAGATTAGCTTCACAATGACATAAGCAAATCCAAGTAGGATATCAAGATAGTTTTATTCAACGTGTTTAAAGGGCAAGGAATTAAACAACAAATCAATATCTGCTGCTTGGCATGCTTTCTGAAATTGCCTTTTCTTTATTTTACCCTATATTTACTAAACAAGAAACAAATAATATAAAATTGACCATAATCATTCACACTGTACTAAAATATACATATCTGTGCCATATGTAAAATAGAATTACTGACATTATATGTATATCATGATGCCTTACAAAGAGAAAACTTTTGCTCAGGAACTTGTCTGAACAATAGTCTTTTTTTTTTTTTTTTTTTTTTGAGATGGAGTCTCACTCTGTCGCCCAGGCTGGAGTGCAGTGGTGTGATCTTGGCTCCCTGCAACCTCCACCTCCTGGGTTCAAGCGATTATCCTGCTTCAGCCTCCTGAGTAGCTGGAACTACAGGCATGTGCCACTACACCTGGCTAATTTTTTGTATTTTTAGTAGAGACAGGGTTTCACTGTGTTAGCCAGGATGGTCTCAATCTCCTGACCTAGTGATCCACTCGTTCTCAGCCTCCCAAAGTGCTGGGATTACAGGCGTGAGCCACCAAGCCCGGCCCTGAACAATAGTCTTAAGATTGAGAACTAGATGGTTGGAGATTACTGGCTTTGGTAATGATGTGGGAATAGAGAGAAATAAAAAAAGTGACACAGCCAGGGGAGAGTTCCACTCCCCTTAGTTTATATGTCTTTTCCATCCAGCACTTCACTAAATTGTCAAATCATTAATTGAACAAAACAGTATATTTGCAGTTGTTTGTACATATTAAAGCATTTTTAATCAATATACATCAGAGTCATCAATTGATTTCAGTGGGAAAGAATAATTACATAATTTTCTCGTTAACATTTTCCTTCAATTTCCAACTCTAACAATTTATTCTTGGGAGAGAATTTTTGTGCTTCAATTATATTTATTGACTGTCAGTAATTGAAACATGATTACTTGTCATGTTGTATATAACAACATTATCAACAATTACATTCCTTACTATTCCTGACATTCAGAGTAGTGTACCAAGTGTTAGGGTATTAAAAAACTAAATTCCAGAGGCTTAAAATTCACTATATTAAAAAATAAGTTAAAATGACATTATGAAGTACTATAATGAAATGAATGATAAGCATGAAGTGCTGTAGAGGTTGAGATTAAAACTGGTTTTACTGACAGGCCAATTTGACTAGATTAAAAGATTCATGAAGGGGAATAGAGGAAATAATGTTAATGAGGTACAAAATAGCTAATCAATGGCAATCTCTAAACTTATTTTCAATATAGAAAATAGAGAGTTATAAGAAGCTTTCAAGTTAGGGAGTGATGAGTGTAAAGCAATGTTTCAAAAATATTTATGTGACTTCATTTAATAGAGCAATTTTGAGGGTATAAGAGACTGATGCTGGAAGAAGAAGATTATTGAAACAGCACAGAAAAAAGAAAACAGAAAAAAAGAATGAAGGGAGTATGAACAATCTCAAAGAAATGTCAAATACCATTAATCACAAGAATATACATAATGGAAATAACAGAAGAAAAGGAAAGAAAGGAATACAAATATTTCTTAAAATAATGGTTGAAAACTTTCCTAAATTTGATGAAAAACATTATCTATGGTTTAAGAAGTTCAATAAACTTCAAGCAGGATAAAGAAATCTCTACTCAGACACATCCCAGTAAACATGCTTAAAAGAAAAAAAGACACCTTGAAAACTGTGTACAAAGGACCCCTATTAAGATTAACAGCTAACTTTCAGAAACAATGGAGGCTGAAAGGCAACGGAATGTGAAATGACATATTCAAAACAGTAGAAGAAAAAAAAATCTGCTAATTAAGAGTCTTATGTTGAGCAAAACTGTCTTTCAAAAATAAAGATGAAATAAAGACATTTCCAGATAAACAAAAACTGAGAGAATTTGTTGATAACAGAGCTATCTTACAAAAAATACTAAGGAAAGTCCTTCAGCATGAAAGAAAGTGACCCCAGCAAGTAATTCAAATCTACACAAAGAACAGAGTACCAGTAAAGGTAACTAGGTAGACAATTACAATGGCATAATTGCATATTTATTTTCCAAGCACCTTTTAACTGATTCAAAAATCAATTATATAAGACAATATGTATGTAATTGTATTGTGAGATCTGTATATATATTTGCCAGTAACAACACAAAGGAGGTGGGTGAGAGCAAAGCAATACTGGAACAAGGAAAAGATACCACAGTTGGTGATTTGAATCTACAGCAACAAATGAGGAAAACCAAAAATGATAAGCAAAAACATCAATGTAACAGATTCTATGAATATATACAGGATATACATTTTTGTCAACATCCTTAAAAGACATACAATTATATAAGATTTCATTATAATTTAATTTAAACAATATATGATTGAGTTTGCAGAACATAGAGATACAACATGTATAATGAAAAATTGGACAAAAAAAAAAAAAGGAGAAGAAGAGTCAAGCACAATGGCTAATGTTTGTAATCCCAGCAATTTGGGAGGCCAAGGTGGGTGGATCACCTGAGGCCAGGAGACCAGTCTGGCCAACATGGTGAAACCCTGTCTCTACTAAAAACACAAAAATTAGCCAGGTACGGTAGCAAGTGCCTCTAATCCCACCTACCTGGGAGGCTGAGGCATGAAAATCCCTTGAAACCAGGAGGGGGCCAATATTCAACATTCTTAAAGAAAAGAATTTTCAAACGAGAATTTCATATCCAGCCAAACTAAGTTTAGTAAGCAGAGAAATAAAATGCTTTCCAGACAAGCAAATGTTGAGGGATATTGTCACCACCCAGCCTGCCTTACAAGAGCTCCTGAAGGAAGCACTAAATATGGGGGGAAAAAAAACAAAACAAACAGTATCAGTCACTGCAAAAACATACCAACATATAAAAACCAATGACACTATGAAGAAACTGCATCAACTAATGTGCAAAATAACCAGCTAGCATCATAATGATAGAATCAAATTCACACATAACCATATTGGTAATGGGCTAAAGTCCCCAATTAAAGACAAGACTGGCAAATTGGATAAAGAATCAAGACCCATGAGTGTGCTGCATTCAGGAGACCCATCTCACATGTAGACACACTAGGCTCAAAATAAAGGCATGGAGGAATATTTACCAAGCAAATGGAAAGCAAAAAAACAGTAGGGGTTGCAATCCTAGTCTCTGATAAAACAGACTTTAAACCAACAAAGATCAAAAAAGAGAAAGAAGGGCATTACATAATGGTAAAGGGATCAATGCAACAAGAAGAGCTAATTATGCTAAACATATATGCACCCAACAGGAGTAGCCACACACTGGGATATGAGTCAATATCCCACCCAGATTCATAAGACAAGTTCTTAGAGACCTACAAAGAGACTTGGACTCCCATACAGTAATAGTGGGAGAATTTAACACCCCACTATCAATATTAGACAGATCAACAAGACAGAAAATTAACAAGGATATTCAGGACTTGAACTCGGCCCTGGACCAAGAGGACCTAATAGACAACTGCAGAACTCTCCACCACAAATCAACAAAATATACATTCTTCTCAGTGCCACGTAACACTTATTCTAAAATCGACCACATAATTGGAAGCAAAACACTCCTCAGCAAATGCAAATGAATGGA